TTGGGGGAAATTCATCTGCTCTGGGTTTGAGGGAAACTTTAAAAAGAGAGAGGAATTAAAGGCTCAGATCCATAATTTTGGGAATCACTCCAAGGGCTCAAAATCCAGGCCCAGCAGCACCAGGAAATGAGTGAAGCTCCTCCTTCCCACCTGGATCCAACTCCTGGAATTTTTTTTTCCAGGGAATTCCCTGGATTTTTTTTTTTCCCCATTCCCTGGAATTTTATTTTTTTTTTCCAGGGAATTTGCTTTAGGAGCCACTGGGAACTTCACAAAGCAGCTGAAGGTACCTCCAGCACGGTCTGTGGGAAGAAACAACCACTGGGAATGGGATTATTCCCAATCCAAGACAGATCCCATGTTCCCATTTTTTCCCGTCTGATCCTAAAGAAAGCCAGGATCCAGCCAGGATTGGGATTTTGCTTTTTGTGGGTGTGGGATGGGACAATCCCGTGGTTTGTCCTGAGCCGCTTGGGAATTCCAAGAGGGAGCCCAAAATGCAGCCAACATTCCCATTGTTTCCTCTTCCCTCTTTTTCCCAAACCAGGCAGAGGGAGATGAGCAGCTCCAAGCGCTTCATTTAAATCCAACGGGATTGGGAGGAGTGACTCCAACACCTCCGGGATGGAAAACAAGGAAAACAAACACCAAAATCTTGGAAAAAAAAAAAAAGATGTCAGAAAACTGGAATTATGGGATGGGGAGAGGGAAACCTCTGGATGCTCAGGAAAAGGAGGATGGGAAGGGCGGAATTCCTGAGCCAAACCAGGTGGCACAAATTCCCGAGTTTTATTTTTGTAAAATAAAAGTGCCTGGATGCTGTGGAACTCTGGATCACTCGCCTGGAAGAGGGAAACCTTGGGAATGGCAGAGAAAGGTGGGAATATCTTGTTTTTCCAGCTGGATCAGGTGGAGCCCCATCCTTTTTGGCCTGGCCCTAAATTCCATGGGAATTCTCACCTTCTCCTCCACTTGGGAATTCCCTGGGCAGGTTAAAAGGAGCTATCCCAAAATCTCCAAGAAAAAAAAACAGGGATCCAAGCCAGGCTTCTCCCTAAAAAATGCCACTTCCAATTCCTGGAGGAGCTTGGAGCTGCATCTTGTGGAAATCCAGGAAGAGGTGTGGAAATCCAGGAAAAGGAATCCCAAATCCCGGGATTTTGGTCCCATGGAGACACAGCTGAGGGGGGTCTTGCTCCATGGGACAATCCCTGGGAAAAGTTCATAGGATTTCCAGTGGGAAAACAGGGATTTATTGAAAGTTTTCCATGTAATTTGGTAAACCTGGGCTCAGATTTCCAAGTTTTCAGAGTTTCCCAGATTTGAGATTTCCCAGCCCGGTGCCATCCCTAAAGATCAGCCCTCACCTCCCTGGCTTTGGAATTTCTCAGCAGCTTTTGGCTCCAAATCCCAAATCCAAGAAAGATTTGGGCATCCAAAGGAGTTGGGAAGAGCCTCCCAAGGGAATGATTTGGCTCAAAATCCACATTCCTGAGGGATCCGAGTGATTCAATCCAGGTTTGGAAGAACCGGGAAGCCAAAATCCATATTTAGGCCGAGCTGAGTGGATTAAACCCAGCTCAAATTCCCATCAGAGCTGGGGGGAAGCTGAGAACTGGAATTATTTTTAATCCTCCATGGATTAATCCAATGTTCCCTACGGATTTGCCATCCAGGCTTTGGCATTCCGGGAACGGAGCCCTGGAGCTTCCCTGGAAATGTCAGGGCGGCCTAATTGAGTTCCTTGGAATTATCTCAGGGCAGCAGAGCGGGGAGAGGCTCCAGGGTTCCTGGTGGCTTTCCAGGCTCGGAAACAGAAAATTCCTGAACATCCTTTGGAGAAAGGATTTGGGAAAAGCCAAGCTGTGGAAATCGGGGATTTAGAGCACACCACGCCAGCTCACAAAATAATTATTCTAAATTTTGTGGCAAAATAATTATTCTAAATTTTGTATTCCCAGCAAAATTATTATTCGTGGCAAAATAATTATTCTAAATTTTGTGGCAAAATAATTATTCTAAATTTTGTATTCCCAG